TATCACAATAAGCCTAATTGTTGTAAGAGAGGTGACTGTTATTGCCATTTTACAGAAGAAAACACTGCAGCTCAGAACAGCCAATAACCAGTCCACGTTTTCCGTACCTGGTTAAGACTGAAGGTAGGGAGCCTGCCTTTGTATCCATAGTGCCAACTCAATTAAGCAGATTTAACAGTTGTTACTTTTGGGGTATATCCTATTTTACTCAACAGTATTTCATTTATCTTGTTATCCTCATGTCATGAATGAGGAAACTTGAGCTTGGGCAGCAAGTGTGTTAACTTGCTGAAAACCATATTGCAAGTAGGGAGAAAAGCCAGGGTTTGAATGCAGTTTCTTCTTACCCCGCAGCTCATATTCTCAGCTCCTACAATACTTAGAGTACATAGGGGAATCAAGATTCAAATCTAGAGCTTTCTAACTCTTTCCACCATATCATGTTAAAATAGCTCCATTCTTATTTTGCCTGTCTTTACTGACAGGGGAATGAGAGTCAGAATAGGCTGTAAAGAATGCAGCTACTGGGGATGGTCCCAGCGCCGAGTGGTTAAGTTTGTGCGCCCTGCTTCAGCGGCCCAGGGTTTCACCGGTTCAGAACCCAGGTGCAGACATGGCACCACTCATCAGGCCACACTGAGGCGGCGTTCCACATGCCACAACTAGAAGGACCCACAACTAAAAGTATACAACTATGTACCAGGGGGCTTTGGGGAGAAGAAGGAAAAAAAAGAATGCAGCTATAGAAAATAAGTTTAAATCTTATGGCTAGAACAAATTATGTCTAACTGAATAAAAATGTTTTGTTAAGATCACAAAAACCCTTTCTGAGATCTTTGAGAATCCACAGAGAATAAGAAATCTGCTCAAAGAAAAGGAATGAGGTAAATGTCATCCTGACTTGCAAAAGGGAAAAGTATGAGGGTTCTCATGTCACAGGAGAACCAGACTTAGGTACAAAACACACCAGCACCAGGTGGCACCATGGGAGCCTGTGGGGTAGAGAAACAAGTAGGGCAAAAGAGCAGGTGTGAAAAATGAATGAGCTGACTACACAGGACAGAAAAGTGAAGGACCTGCCCCCTCAGGACACTTAAGGCATGGCAGCAGGAGGAGGAGGGTGGGGTGGGACCGGGGATAACAGGGTGGAATCTCAGCAATAATGCCTCAAGCTCCAAAAGGTCCAAGCAGGTCTCAAGTCAGGACCAAACCTCCCAGGAAGGGAGCTCAGGAGAAGGAGACAGGAGATGGGCGCCCCACTCTTAGAAGGTGCTGGGATCCCAGTTAAATCATCAGCCGACTAAAGGATAGGAAAAGGGACAGGAGGCCAACTTTATAGGTTACCAGCCTGAATAAACAGGTATTCTGGAAAATGGCAGCTAACTGGTACCCAGGGCTCATCCCCAACATGACAGTTAATGCACTGGTTAGCCATATGATTACATTCAAGCACTACTCAGCGCTCAATGGTGCTGTTGATTCTGCCAATACCTGGCCTGTCCCTTTCACGACTGACTCAGCAACTAGGGTGAGACCTGGTCTTAAAGTCGAGTTCATTAATAGACCAGCAGAAGAAAGGTAAAGAAGGCAACAGTTGTAAAAATGAGGCAGGGGCTAAAAATATACAGTAAGTGGACTTCACAATTCATACTTTACTTCTTAGCTCCTACAAAACTTGGGACAATCAATCCCATGGTTTGTAACCACTCAGAGAAATACTACCAATAAATAGCAGTAGCCCCCAGAAGCACTACTGCCCCGTGGCAGACAAATGGCATTCCTTTTTATGATAAAGTTCCAAGGCCCGTAGATGAGGGGATGCTGTAAACATGAAGTCCTAGCTTTCACCACAGCATCTGACAGAGTCTCTACACCCTCTTTATGAACAAAATCTAAACGTGCGAGAAGGATGATAACATTCTAAAGTAAATTTCTAACTGGCTCAAGGATGAAATTCAAAAACTGCATGTTGGCCCCGCGGCTGAGTGGTTAAGTTCACGCACTCTGCTTCGGTGGCCCAAGGTTTGGCTGGTTCAGATCCCGGGCGCGGACACGGCACCGCTCGTCAGGCCATGTTGAGGCAGCATCCCAGATGCCACAACTAGAAGGATACACAACTGAAATATACGACTATGTACTGGGGGGATTTGGGGAGAAAAAGCAAAAAAAAAGAAGACGACTGGCAACAGTTGTTAGCTCAGGTGCCAATCTTTAAAAAAAAAACTGATTAATGAATCTGTGTTTAAATAAAGGAAAGTTGCTAAAAGCATGCCACAGGCCTCTATCTTCAGTCCTGGCTATTTTAACAATTTTAATCAATGTCATACATGAGTAATAGTTAGGCCAACATTTAAGAACGTCACAGATGTGATAAAGATGGAAGACACAGTGAATAAGGTAACTGACAGAATCAAGACCCAGAAAGACTTCAAAAGGCTGGGTAGAAATGATATTCCATAGGACTATAGGTTAAATCCTAAGTAAAAAAGCAAACTGCATATAGAACAAGAACAAGGGAAAATATGGCTTTACGACGACATATATAAAGCTAAATTAAAAGTCAGTTAAGACCACAAGCTTAACATAAGTTAGCAGTGTCATGGAACAGAAAGAAGAGCTCATGAAACTTCCCCTTTAAGAAATCCAGCCTCCAGACAAGGGAAGAGAGAATTCAACTGTACACTGCGCTGGCCGGCCCCGGCTCAGGGCACTGTGTTCATAGATGGCTTCCTTGAAGACAAACGGACACACGTTGAAGACTTCAAAAGCTGACAAATGAGCCAGGGTTGACAGAACCAAGGACTCAGTCTAGAGCAGAGAACGCATATTGACAGCTGGTAGGCTAGGTGCAGAAGGCAGATGGGTTTAGTGCATCCAGAACAGGATTTTAGATCTATCAGAAAATTTCACATAAAAATCTGGATTTCTGTTTTTCTTGGGGGAAAAACAGTCTGGGAATAACTGGAGGAAGAGGGGCAGCCAGAGCTCCTTCAGCAGCAGCTCGTCTCCCTCCTATCGTCTGACCCCCAGACGTTCTATAAATGAGCCTACAAGCACCTGAATCGCAACCACTATGCTAGAGAAAAAGAACCAAGAGGTAAACACAAAAGCTGTCTCATAAAACCTGAAAGGTTATGTCTGGACTAGTGATTTACTGAAAGGTTATGTCTGGACTAGTGATTTACTAAGGGGCTATTCTGGGGAAATAAGGCCAAAGGGTACAAGGTATAAGGAGGGTCAACATAAAAACGACCTTCCTAACAAAAATGAAACAATCTGCCTGTGTATACGGCCCTTCCTCACTGAAAAAGGGCAAGCAGAGGTCACCCCTTATCAGAGTCGCAAAGGAGACTGATTCACTAGGTAAAGAACTAGAACAGAGAACCCAAAATGTCCCTTCCAAGTCTGGGTTTCTCGGATGTTTTAATCTTATGAGCTTTATTATCAAGAGTACCCATCTACCATGGAGAGCACACTGAGCTGGGCCCTGCATGCTTTTCACGTAAGAAAAGCACTGGCTTCATAGCAAGATCGTAGGATTTACTGTTTCCATGTCAACTAAACACAGGCTTTACTACTGAATCATTATCTGATCCTCTTGGGCAATTTAATTTACCGTAAATATAAGAGAACCTTGTTATTTCATTAGTGTTAAGAAGCGACGGCTACTCCTGCCTTGAAATCATTCCAAGCTATAGTGAGGGGATCACAAGGAGGCATCATGGCATAATGGACAGAAAACCAGAATAGGAAATGTGCTTGGGAAAACTGGATAATCTTTCTAGACTTCTGTTTATTCATCCATAAAATGGGCATAACACTGAGCCATGTCTATTCTAGATTGTTGTACAAATCAAATTAAATAATATATGTAAAGATGCTCTGACAACTATACGGTGCTACATAAATGCAAGGACTTTCCAATAGAAAACACAGACCTGTTACGTCTTGCTTTGGTTTTGTCTGAAAAGCATTTTGCCTCCTTAGTATAAGGATCCGGATCAATCTACCTATTTACTCAGTGATCCATGTAGCCACCTCTCTATCCATACCTCCAACCTCACTTCTCCAAAGCCTCTCAATCTAATACATCCAGAATTCTAAATTGATTAATTTAATTAAGGACGGGGAATGGCGTCATCATGAAGGTCAACCTTTATTCAGGTAAGGCACAGGAGATCAGTTTCCTGCCCAAATATTGTTTTAAGTTTGAAGTTCTGCTTATTGGCTCACTAGGAAATAGATTCTTATTCTTCTCTACATGAGATGTGCCATTAATCACCTACAAAGGAGCTACAACAGTCCAGACACCAGTTGGCTCAAGTACCCATTTTTATAGATGAATGTTAACAACAAGAGCAAGGAGATGTTACCTATCCATTCAGTGCCATAAAAGCACCCAGGTTGCAGATAAAAAGAAAGATGTGGTCTATAGTTTTAAACGTAAAACGACACATCAAGAAAAATACATACCCTGAGTAGTTTCATACAGATAGGTGAGAGTTAATCCCTTTGGGAGAACTCTAAAGGGTTAAGCTGTGCTAATTCCTAGCTGTGAAAGCTCACCAGGACTGCCTGTGACTATCTGGTAAAGGTTACTTATGCTCTAGACCACACTTACTCGATTTTAACAGATCTAGGCAACAGTTCCTTAAGAATCCTTATGGAAATAGAAGTTTTCAAGTTACATAAAGATTCACACAAACTAAGGTTATGTAAATGAAATTCCTTTATAATGAAATTTTAGGAGAGAAAACTGCAGGGATTTAGGCATTAGCATTCCTCACTGTTTAAAATGGAATTAATTTCCAGCACAATAAATTAGAGAGGTGCCTATTACTATTAATGGGCAATAATGGAAACTGACTTATGTATAAACATTTATTTACAAGGTGATACAACTGTCATTGCAAGATTTTTCAACAAACATCAAGAGAAAATGAGATAAAGTGTTATCAACTGAGTAACAAATACACACACAATCAGAAGAATTTGCTTACCTGTAAGACAAATTTCTGATCTATGTATTTTTTGGCAATGCTGGGTTGGAATTCTTGGCTTTCCAAAAATCGTATGAAAAATTCATATACAAGCTGCAACAAACAGATTATAGTTAATTTTAAAGTACAGTTCACTGAGAATAGTATCCAAAACCATAAAAAGCCTGTAACACTAAAACTGACAGGGCTTACAAAGTTGGGTTTTGATATCAATTGACTGACTATACTACCCTTTCCTGTGGCTCACAGCTGTATGTTTTTTAAACTTTTTAAATTAAAAATCTGAAAATACAGCTACAAAGCATATAAAAATCCCCCATAATCTCACCATTCAGAGATAACTACTGTTAACATTTTAATGTATAAACCTCCTGATTTCTCTCCATACTTCTACAGCATATCAATGTACTATATTTTTATATAGTTTTCAAACTACTTTTACCATATAAACAATATATTGTGAGCAATTATGTTAACATCTAAGCCATCATTCTTAGTAGCTACAAGTAGTCCATAATACATAATTTATAATGAATAATTATTTATTCATAACTAATTTAACCAATCTCCTATACTTAGACATTTAAGCAGTTTCTGAATTACTTCTCTCTCAAATGATGCCACAATGTACCTCATATAACATACATCAGTGGGCATGTCCTCAATTATTTCATGAGGAAATATTTCTGGAAGTGGAATTGTTAAATCAAAAGATATCTAAACATTTCAGGATTTTCCACACTTAGGGCCAAATCTGCTTTCAGAAAGTTTATGGCAATTTACATTCCTCTAAGCAATATGCGATGGTGGAGGAGAATATCCTCATCTGCAGAGCAACCTCAAGTAACTGTGCTGATAAGCAGTGGGGGATCATGTTTATGTTCTTTGCAAAATAAACCTGTGTTAAAGTATACATTAGATCCCAGAGTAGTCTACCACAATGTACCAAAACCAGAACTTTTAAGAGACAGACACTGGCCTGGAAGCCTAGCTCTGTCCCTTACTAACTGTGTAACTCCAGGCAAGTTAATTTCTCTAAAGGTCTGTTTCTTCAAGTGTCTAATGGGGATGGTAATCCCTAAGATTAAATGTGATAATACATACATAAACCCCTCTATACAGCGACTAACACCTACCACCACTGCCACTACTTAACACTGCATTCTCAAGCTTTTTAGTCTCACGCCTCTACACTTAAAAATTATTGAATACTCCGAAAAGCTTTTGTTTATATGAGACACATATAATTAGAAATAAAAACTGAGAAAATTTAAATATGTACTTATTTCATTTTTAAACAATAGAATACATGTTAAAAATATTTTTGTGAAAAATAATTTCCAAAACAATTATTGAGAAGAGCATTGTTTTTTATTTTTGTAAATCTCTTTAGTGACATATGAGAAGACAGACTTTTATCCGCTTCTGTACTCCAGCTGCTGCACTATATTGTCTTGGTTGACGTACACAAAGAAAACTAAGCCTCACATAGATCTAGTAGTATGAAAAATGGAGAGTATTTTCATAGGCTTTTTACTTAATTGTGGATATTCTTCTTTGATACTACACCAAAACTCAGAGTCATTTCTTAAAAATGCAACGTGGGATCTGAAACCATATCAACGAACGTGTCATACTCTGTCACACTGAATCCAGTCACCTGTCCCGCACTTTGAATGGATTTTTACCCAGGTGGTTTACCAACATCATTCACTGGACAGCCAGAAAATATTGGTTCACTGAGTTACGCAGATTTTTCAAATATGGACACGTTTCATTATACAACATCAAAAAAAGTCACATTCCTTAATATCTCCAATTTTACCAAAAAACTCTTTAATCTTTGGGAAGCTATAAAGCTTACGATGACAGATACAAGACAGTTACATGTTTTCCAAAATTCTAAGTTTTGCTTGAATGCTGTAATTTTATCAGTGGTAACAACTATTTTCTTCGTTTGTTTTAGAGAAAACATCTACCAAATACCCAGGTGGGAACAACCATAGTTTGTCAGGCATTCCTTCAAGTAAAAACGGCATTTCACGAAAAGACAGCTAGTTTGGCTCAGAGCTCAAAGAGTCACACCAGGGCTCCAGCACAAGACAAGCCTTCCACTTCAGGAAGCAGCAGACGCGCTTTATGCCTACTTCCCATAGCGTCATGAAGAATACTTTTTAAAATGTGTACCCTAAGGTCAAGATTTAATAAAACTGATAATTTTTGCTGCTTCTTCAAGAACATTCTTAATTGAAATTGGCTTTTTTTTTAAATTGTAAGTGCATGACAGTGACGAATACAACTACTAGGCAGGTTTGGCACAACTGCCTTGATTTGTGCTAACAGAACAGCAGTTTCAACCACCATTGCTGTTACAACTATTAGTGCAAATTTCAGCACAACGAAAAGAGCTCAAGTTAGTATTATTGTAAAACCAGATTTGACCTTGCAGGCCACTGAAAATCAGGTCTCAGGAACTCCCTAAGGGTCTACAGATAGCACTCACCTAACGCATCTTCAGATGCTAACTTAACACTTAAATAGGTGTTCACAGTAGGATTTTACATCTTTATAAAACTATGTTTTTCTCTTTGAAACTCTCTGAAATCAGAAAAACTTCTTTCCCAAGGATCTGAACATTGTCAAGCTGTACTTCCAGTCATAATGCCTGCATCCCAACACCTCCTAGAAGAATTGTTCTTTTTTCAATACACTAATCTTTCAACTCTTAGTTTTACAAATAGAATGTCAGCCTTATTCAAATAATCCATAAAAGGGGATTTCATCTCTCTTTTGATTCCCACAAAGTGGAGAGATTCTCATCTTTCAGGCCTGACTTGTGGGCTGGCAGGTTTTCCAGTGGAATTGGCAAACTGCTCTCTCTCCTCTGATCCCTTGAAAGCAGTTATGGTTTAAAACAGTTTGGTGGAAACACTTCAGACACATTTATTAATAAGCATAAATATTCTCTACACTTCAGAGACAGATTTTACCTCAGAATCAAAAATCTCCCTGGAGTTTCTAAAAGGAAAGACTGAGGACTGGGGAGGATAAATCACTTTCCAAGGTCACAGAAGTGAATTCTCCATGGAACACGAGTAAAAAGACCTTAGCATTCCTGTTTTCAGTCTCAAGCGTAAAGTATTACAGACAATCCCTTAATTGTAAATGGAAGTCCTGCAAGTTGTATTCTGCTGGACAGACAGACCCAATTTCAGAAAACACACAAAGAATAACCATGGTAATTATGGGATACCAGTTTAAAAGATACCAATACAGGTAATAGAAGAGACAAAGTAACACACATACAGTAGACCCTTTGACATATTTGAACTAAAAATTTGTGGATTTAATACTTCTTCTATTTTTAAATATCCCCAAAGAGCCATGATTTGTTATAATGAGTAATTTTGTATGGGCCACAAATTTAAATCAAAGAAGAGGTGTGCAGGAGTACTCAATTAGCTAGGGAACACACCTAGCCAACCACTATTGTCAGATATTTGGTAAAACCCCTGTGCTTCCTTGTAAAATGTGGTCCAGAAGAGGAGGGGCATGGCTAATGCTGGAGTGAAGAAAAAGTGAAAAGGTCTAAGAAAGTGCTACGTTTCGGTCAGAAAAACAGACTGTTGCATCAATTAAAAAGGGAAGTGTTGGGGCTGGCCCCGTGGCTTTGGTGGCCCAGGATTTAGCTGGTTCGGATCCTGGGTGCAGACATGGCACCACTCACCAGGCCATGCTGAGGCAGCATCCCACATGCCACAACTAGAAGGACCCACAACTAAAAACATACAGCTATGTATTGGGGGACTTTGGGGAGAAAAAGGAAAAATAAAATCTTTAAAAAAAAAAAAAAGGAAGTGTTGAATTGAGCGATGGGTCACTCTGACAAGAAAGACTTACCGTGAACTGAAAAGGAGATTTCTTAAACATTCAATGAGTGCTCTTGCCAATACTAAAACCACCTAGCAGTGAAAACGGAAAAGTGACTAACATGTGGAGTCAGAATACACAACGGAAAGACAGGATTCCTGAGACAAGTCAGTAGCCTATACAAAGACTTGCGTAAAGCAATAGAGGGTGAAGGCAACAGTGTGCCTACTGACTTGACCTTTACTAGGAAGGAAGACTGATTTGTGAATTTTAAGAGTAGGTTTCCTTTACCTGATCCAGCATCAGTCATATTTCCCCTTGAGCTAAAGAGAGGACAAGAGGCTTACAGGTTCGAACAGGATGTCTACACAGATGAAATCAGCCCATTTTGGAATACAGTTTGTGACTTTATATCCATAAGGGTAGAGGTCTCATCATCATTCCTGCCTGTTGCTCTGGTTTTAGAATTTCAGATGAACTAATGGTTAATGTTCCTGTAGTAATGACACAGTGTAAGCTAGAGATTTTTGGTGGCAGAATTTAGTTTAAGAGCTTTAGGGGCTGGCCCCATTTCTGAGTGGTTGGGTTCACACACTTCGCTTCAGAGGTCCAGGGTTTCACCGGTTCAGATCCTGGGCATAGACATGGAGGGACACATCAGGCCATGTTGAGGCGGCATCCCATATGCCACAACTAGAAGAACCCACAACTAAAAATATACAGCTATGTACTGGGGGGATTTGGGGAGAAAAAGCAAAAACAAAAAAAAGGAGCTTTAGAAATTAATTTGGTCCTATCTTTTATAGAGTCATTAAGCTTTGGAAGAATTAACCAAAATTCTGAGTTAAACTTTACTGTACTTTAGGAGAAATTCACATCTATGGGGATCACGATTTAGAGAACTCAAAAAGCTTTTGCAAATCGCAAGAGTGGTCTGCTGTCTCTTCTCCGGGGTGTAGAAAAGACAAGCTGAAGCTCTGAAGACATCTCTCTCCCTGTCTTTTCCACTGTAAGATGTGGAACTCTCCTGAGCAGATTATCTTTTTTTGTTTGTTTTGTTTTTCAAATTTCTTCTAGACTACATTGCACTTCTATGAACTGATGCCAAGCATTAAGAATAAGACATGACAAGAAGTCCACCCACTCAAAAGAGTAATTCTTTTTTTGGATTTTTGTCACAATCTGGGATATACCATGAAAAGCACAAATAGTTCTGCAAATTTCTTAGAGTGCAGATAGTATGTCTGGCACCTTAAAAAGTAAAATCAAGCATCTAAGATAGTAAATCAATTACAGTGTTTTAACTAATTTACTCAAACTTGGCTTTGGTAGTAGGAATACATATGTATAACACGCCTGGGTAAGAGTTGAGAACAGAGCCCCTGAAAGCTCTCTACATAACCAGGGGAAATAGCACACATGTACATCTGCAGCAACTTTGAGTTGCCAAAGCAGGACAGGGAAAGTTGCAAATTTATGTCAAAAATTCTAAAGTAGAGGAAAAAAAGAAACTCTTAGAATTATCTTGAGGCTTTATCTCCCCGCTGCACAGTTTTCTGCTCTTCAGAATGTCAGCTGGCAACCGCGAGCACACTTGTGCAAAGATGCAGTGGCTTCTGCCCCAGGGGGAAGAGGCACAAGGTTATATTCCTTCTCTTCCACCCCTTCCTTCCATGCTCACTGTCATCCAGCCTCTGAGAACATTCTGACTCAACGGAAAGACGGCCTTGGGGATCATTACATTCAAATTTCCTTGTTCTATTCTTATGAGAAACGATGACCTTGAAAGAAGGCAACCAGGAAAGGAGGATGGAAAATGACTGGTATGGATAAGTAAATGCAATACAGATGGGCCTGCTGCTGAGAAAGGAGATGCAGGGGTGGCCCTGATCTGTCCCGGCACATGAGTATGACTGGAAAACATGGCCTCTTGGCGCAAGAGAACAAAACTGGCCTTCACACAAGCTTTCTCTCAGCTGTTGCGCTTCCTCACAAAACTGTGAAACAGCTCTTGCAATTTGTTTTTGCCTTTCCAGACTAAAGAAACACATTTGTGGTTATCATGAAGACAGGCATTCAAAGTCCCCAGGGCACCTACTGCTGAAAAGGAGATGTGTACTCTGTGACCTAATCACATCTAACTAATATTAATGTGAAAATAGTTCTGCTCTTGTCTGAGGCTCCAGTAGGGAGGACCAAATAGAAGCTCTAATAAAAGAACAGGAAATGCTAGCTGGACCTGCAAGCCACGAGGGCCCCCACTAAAGCATTACACTGAAACTTATTATTTTATTCCTTTGGCATCCTAATTATCAAGAGTAAGAAACATAAAAAAGCATTCTCCAGCTTTCCATTAATGTACACTAATTTGATTTCTTGGTGAACATAGGCCCTTCAAGGAATTCCCATGCTAATCAGCTAATGAGTTAATGGAGCTTTCTTTTCTAACAAATGGTAGTTCAAAGTACCTGTAAGTGTGGCCACGATGCCTCGAGGGTAGGTTCATCTTCTTCTGGATCAAATTCATTGCTGTCACTAGGAGGGAGAGTTCTGAATATATTGCAAGATACCTAAAAATAAACAAGCAGCAGAGTTAGCTGGAAGCACCTCCTGGGCAGCCTTACACAAGGTCTTTGCAGGCAGTCAAAGGGAACCCAGGTGACAGATGACAGGAACATCACCAAACTGGAACGGGGACCTCTTTCTATAGGCTTTGTGACCAGGACCACCTCTAGGCAAAGCTGGGAAGTAGCAGAGCAGCACCTTCTACCCTCTGGAACAGTACTCCTTGATCTCATATGGCCATCCCCACCCCAGGGTCCTGGGCTTTCATACCTTCCATCAAAGGCCGCTCTTGGTTACTTACCAGTTAAGCATGCTTCTGATTAACCACTTTACACTAAGACACAAATAACTGCTAATGGGCTTCATGTAGTTCCCTTCTCAGGCCTATCCACAATTTGCAAATTTACAGTTGAACTAATAGTGAAATTTCAGGCATTCACAAAAAGCCAATCAGAAAAGATATTTCAGAACCTAATATCCTTAAAATCATGTCTAAATATGATTAAAATCATATCTAAATGTCAATATAGTAACAACACCCTGGGTAAAATCTCTCTGTGAGGCAAACCTCTCTGAACTAGGTATTCCTTTGCCACAGGCAATTTCCAAATTAAATGCTGGTTGTTCAAAGAATGGCCATGAGGTGATAACCGTTGAAACTGGGTGATGAAGAGATGAGGATTCATTACACTATTCAACTATTTCTGCAAGTATTCCAAGATTTCTATAGTAAAATGCTTATTTTTAAAATGCTGTTGCTACTATTCTCAGAGTTCCTTTTCAATTTCTATTCTGTTTCTTGTCCTGCTTACTCATCTATCCTCTCCTAACGACCCAAACATATCCTCAGATCTGAAGAATAAAAGGGGAGTGGGCGGGGGCAGGGGGTGGATATGTGTAGAAGGCAAGAAGGGAAAGGAAAGGAGATACTGCACCAGAAGCCTTTCTGGACTTTCTGTACAACGCAGAAAATACTAAGCTATAATATGCTGCTCTGAAAGAGGGAAGAAGGCTATTGGGGGCCCATAATGTGAACATGTTTATTCATTCAACAAATATCTATTAAATGTCTATTCTGTACACACACTGTTCTAGGCACTGGGAACATGCAATGAACAAGCAGATAAAAATCTGTGTCCTCCAGGAGCTTATATTCTAGTTAACATCACAATTATCCAAATTTCCTAGCTGTGGAAACTGAGCCCAAACGTGTAAGCTATGGAAAGGAGATTCGGTTTTATCTTATGTGCAATGGGAAGTCACCTGTGGATCTTAAAAGAGAAGTGACATGATTCGATTTTTGCTTTTTAAAAAAATCATTCTGGCAGATACGTACAGAACAGACAGGAAGGGGACAAGTTAGAAGCCTGTGAAAGTGGCAAGAGATGATGATGGTTTGTACTAGGATGGTAGCAGAGAAGACAGAAATAGACTGATTCAAAATATACTCTAGAGGTAGTTTTGCTGCTGGCTTGGACTTATGGGGTGAAGGAAAGAAAAGAATCAAGGATGAGTTATAGATGTAAGGTCATTTATCCAAGATAGAGATGACTGGGAAAGGGAAAAGCTTCCTTTGTTTGCTTGTTTTGGTGGGGAGATCCAGAGATCCAGTTAGGAATGTGTTAAAGCAGCAATATCTAGGAGGCAACCTGACATATGAATCTGGAGTTCAGGGCTAGAGAGGTCCGGACTGGAGACACATAAGGACTCGTGGGCATATAGATGATATTTAAAGCCATGGGACTCATGGATCACCTTGGAAAGGAGTAAACAAAAAAAGTTTCGGAAAGGACCCTCAGGCATCCAACATTTAGAAATCAGATAGAAAAAGCACAGCCAAGAAAGGCAAATGAAAAGGAGTAGGAGGTAGGAGAAGAAAAGAACTAGAGTTTGGGGTCTCAGGAGCAAAGAGAGTCTTAAGCAAGAAGAAGTCAACACTAGCAAATCTTGCTCTGAGGTTGATGAAGAGGAGCATAGAGCAGTATCTATTGCATTCAGCAGCCCTAACAAGTGGGTACCATTATCTCCAATTCCCCAATGAGGCAAAAGCAGCACAGGCTTGTTAACATCAGTGATTACAGTTAGTAACCAGCAGTTACAACTGAACCCATGCTGTCAGGTTATACCCCTGCGTTCTAGAAAAGCAGGTAGAGCACCTCTTCTGCTCTATTTAGCTTAGATGACTAAAAAAAATTACCATTTTAGAATGTTTTTGCTATGGCTAATGACAGCATACACAGTTCTTTTATTTTTGTCCCTTCCAATGATTATCAGAAATTATGTTCACAAAGAAACTTGTGACTTTTCAGATAACCATCAACCTGACTTCTCTTCAACCAGCCAGCCATACTATAATCAAAAGGGCAAAAGTCTTTTAATTACTTGCTTTTGATTCTTCATTAAATTATACATGTATTTCAGAAACTGGGTTGAGATTGCATCCCAACTAAGTCATTTATATTTACTGTTCTCTCTAACAAGCTTTTCTCTCCCCCAAGACGTGAAAGTAAACCAAGAAAGCTAAAAATAAAAAAACAAAAAACAGCTTCTCTATAGTAAAAACTCTGGGTGAAAGGACTCAGAAACTTCTAGTCCTCTATACTCCTGGTCGTATAAACTCTCTTACAGTGTATATCATATGCTACGGCAATTATGTGTTTACCTCTCCCCACCCATCAGGCATATGTGATGTCATGTTCACATCTGTTTCCCCGGCACGTATGAGGCAACCAGTAAATGTTCGCGAACTCAAAGTCTAAATACATTCATAAAACTGTGTATTTTGGTTCTGCTTTAACCAAATTTATAAATCTAGGTTATTTAGCCTAAGATGTTTAACTCTGTACAGTGTTCTACACCTGTGATTTGGTCAAAGTTTCCTCTCTCACTTACCATATCAAAAGAACATGGAGTTGTGTAAATCTAAACAGCAAACGGTCCTAAAGGCGAGTACATCTCGCTTAGCTACACATTGCCATTTCTTCAGATTTGCCTTCCTTGTAATGCTTTATTTAGTTTACTTCTAAACATTCACCACATGAACAATGAGGAATTGCGGATCTATTGGGCTGGACAATTAAGAGCTGACTCAACTGGTTGAGCAGTTCTCTAGTACATTTGGGAAAATGTCAAAGCACATCAAGTGTCATGGAAATGGTCAAGCCTCTGACCCAGCCTGGCACATAATAGGTGCCTAATAAAAATGACATAAACGAAAGAACCATTGCTCCCATCCTTGAGAATCTGTCCTAAGAAACTAATTCAAGACAAGACTGAAAAAACTAATTAAAACAGTCATTTGCAACACTCTCCAAAAAGTGCAAGCTTGGAAATAACCTTTATGTTCAATATCAGAGAGGTACATTAACTTAGTGTAATATTGTATGGCATTAAAGATGATGCCTTTATGGAAGCACAAAGAAATGTTTATAAATAAAGACGTAGGGAGAAAGACAATCGAAAATGGTGTGACTATACTATAAAGATAAGAATGGAAATGGATAACCAAAGGGAAATTAAGAAAAGCTGTACTGAAGCAAGAGGAATATAGATGATAAACTAGGCAGCTGCTGTTCCTCCTCTTGGGACACACCAAATCAGTCCTAAATCTATAAAAAGCCTAAGTTAGAGAATACACTCTATGAGTTATGCCTTTAATTTCAAGATGAAAATGGGCTCTTGAATTTGTTTGAACAAGATTATTCCTGTCAGGAGAGAGTTGATCAGAGCCTTGCACAATGCCTATAGCGTAGCTTATGAATGAATGGTGGAAGGATTGAATGAATGGATCGGTTTAGCTGTACAGTTGAGCTCCAAAATCAAAAGTTTAAAACTGGATCATCCATGAATGGGCTTGGGGGCCAGGAGGGTCTCTAAATCCCCTGATTTTTCTGCAACATTTTGTAGATGTGAGTCCAATTTGGGAAAAGATCCAGTTGTCTTCATCAGATTTTCAAAAGACTTCCAAGATCTAAAAACGGTTAAAAATCACTGTCCAAAATGGTAAATTTGCTTCCATTAAATCTTCCCTCATCACTGGCAGACACTTCTGATTTATAGCCCAGGTTTTAAACGGATTATTGAATAGGTAACATTAATAAACAGGTAAAGGCAGTTGCATGCTTATGCAAATACATCACGAGCACAAGTAGCCACGAGCATCACTCCCCACCACAGAGCAGTTGTGTACAGCGTCTATGGGGGTACATTAAAATGCACCCAGGTATTTATAAAGTCACAAACTGTCTCTATAATGTATTTAAATATATGAGGCTCTAGCCCTAAGCCTTCTATTTTATTCATTCAGGAATGGATTATCAAAAATGAACAAAAAGGAATTTTTGAAGTATACAAGGATTTATTTTTCAACTATTTTATTTTAATCTATGCTGGTGTCGATGCAAAGTAAAATTAGTTTAAGAAATAAGTGTCTTTGAGGTAGTCAATTCATTTTCATTCCAAAGGTATTATAATAAATACTGAATGTTGAGAATCAAACTAAAGGCATGAAGGCACTAGCCTGGCCTCCAGAAAAGTGGCTATAAGGACAGAAAGCAAGGCTGGGGGAATGGGAGGAACAAGTGTTAAAATCTGGACAACCCCTTCTCAAAGATAAAAAACCTGGGATTAGGGATTCCACTGAGTTGTCAGAGACTAGCTCATCCAGCTCCTTCATTTTACAAATAAGAAAAGGGAGGTCCAAAGAACTTGTGAGTTTTTCAAGGCAACACAGCACCATGACACGCACGGAGGGTACTCAAGGTTCTTTCTCTGACACACCCCTCCGCCTCCACCCCTGAAGACCACAGATAGACCTGACTTCTTACATCTCTCTTTTTCCTCTGCTTCCCCCAACCATTTATCATTTTCTTGCTTTCCCATTTTCCCATCTCTCCTTTCCCATCAACTCCTTCCCAAGTTTCTGGCCTGCCAGTGGCTCTCAACAGGACCCATGGGAACTGTTTATCTTCCTGAGGGCATTCAGGTCTAAGCTGATGACATTGCT